ACCCCCTTGCCATTGTCTTCAAAAAAAAAAAAGTATGCACTTGAGGTGTAATTGAGGATGTTCCATTTATTTAGCACTGCAACAAAACTTAACACAGATTTCCAAGATAGCAAAAGCCTCTACATTAAGGATGATACTAGATACAGAGGGGGGCAATGACTTTTCATTAGGAGAGTGAAAGGGAGAGACCCATACACATTTCACTGCTTTTGAACCTGTCAAGTACTTGGCTGTTTTGACTGAAAGAGGGTTAATATCTGAAGCCCAGTAAACCCACAAACAGAATCATAAAGCTGTCTCAATAATTAACACTCCTGTGTCTGTCAGTAGCTAGTTTATTTGCGCTTTCCCTCCATTTGTTTATATTTCCCCCTTTCTACTACCCTCACCCCCTACGCTTCTGGGTAACTCCAGATCTATCTGCACCAGTATTATTTACCTTGAGTTTCAAGTCTATTTTTCTTGGTACAGATCAAACTGTTAACTTTCTTTAACAGTTCAATTTATTTATTGCAGAAAAAAAATACAATGATATTTACAAAACAATCATCAAAATAGGAATGCATTTAGACACTGAATCTATTTGCATTTTAACATGGGTCATCAATAAATAAATAGAATGATTCATTTTTGTCCCACCCCCACCTCCCTTTTTTAATTTTTTTTCCAGGAACAATTCCAAAACAAAGCAAAACTAATAAGGAACCTGAAATATTTTGCTCATGAGAGTTTGAGCCAGTAAGGTTTTGCTGCTGAAATGGTTTTTGGGCGGTGGGTGGGAAAAATTTCCCTTTCTCATTCCTTAAAAAAAAGGGGGGGTTCGTTGTCATTAGATCTGTTCAAAAAGAAGGGTGGGGGACTCCAGTAACATATTTCCTTTCATGAGTGGCTCATAAGCTCTCTAGGGAATGCATGCATGCAAAAAAGAGGGAAAGGAAGTAGGGAAAAAAGTTCCAACATTCTTCGTCAAAATGGTAAGGGGGGGGGAAGCTGGTTCAGATTTCGATCAGAATGCAGAGATGTTTGGTAGATCATCCAGCCTTCACTCTGGATCAGCCACCTCACCGTCTGAGGGGCTCTAGGTCTCTTGCCTCAATTGCTCTCCCCACGCCCTGCTCTTTGCAACCTGGACCAAGAACGGGTCTATATTTCCAAGAAAATCCTTGGCGTGCTAGTCTGAGAAGGGGGAAAATAACCCCGGGAGGTGGAGTGAGGGCGAATCCAAGTGCAGAGTCTCTAGTTTGTCCATTTTCTCTCCTTCCCTTTGAGAACAATGTTATCTGGGAGGAAAAAAGAGAGAGACAAGAAGGGAAGGGGAGAAGGGAGAAAACTGTTACTAGAAAAAAGAAAAACATTAACCCTCTTAGAAAGAGAGGGCGAAGCGAGAAGAAAAAGCTTCTTTTCGCGACCCTCCAGAGCTATGACTCTGCTCGCTTCAAGCCGAGGTTTGCAAGGCTGCGTGAGGGTGTGAGTGCAAGTGCGCGCGTGTGTGTAGGGGGGAATTGTAGCACAAAGGAAGGCGGGTTGGGTGGGGGGAAGGAACATTGGCAAGGCATGAAATCAGGAAACGCGCTGAAGGAAGCGTCACGGAGATCTATCTCGGGCGAATCTAGTAAATGGGGGATATATTATCCTCCTGGAGCTTAACTAAATTCTCCCTTAAATAAATCCTTGCTCCTTTTGGAGGTAACTTGCTTCCAAGGAAGTCTGTTTCGGGAGTCGGAATTCCTGAGTTCTCCAGTCGCCTAGTAGGAAGCCAGCCAAGCTTAACCACCTAGTGTAGTGGGGGAACTGGATGGGGTTAGGAAGAGTGAAAATAACCAGAGTTGATGTGTGCTGGCCCGCTGGCATCCTGGATCGAGCATCGGGTCCAAGAAAATCGAAGAAGAACGAGCGCAGCATTGTACAGATATTGTACAATTCTACACGTCCATCACATGCAACCACCAAAGCTTTGGAACAGAGTCATTGGTCTTCGCTTTCCAGCGGAGGAGACCTCCCGCTCTTTGAACAATCTGACCAAGAACAGGCTGGCATTTAGCCAGCTTTTCCCACCGATGGAAATTCTGCTGAAATAGCCCCCCTTCTATAGCCCTCCATCCTTTACCCAAGAAGTTTAGTCTCTTTCTCTCCCAGCCTAGTTCTCTCCAACCCTCCATATCGCCTCCAGTTCAGCCCTCCCAGGCTGCAGTTAGGGAAAGGGGAGGCGGGGGAGAGGGGACCAAGAGAGGGATCGGCTAGCGCCTTTTCCTCCCAATCTGGTGCCTTTTGGACACCTTGGACATCAAGACGCCTCATTCCAGCCAAATGGGACATGGGCTGATCTGGCAAAGGAAGCAATTGGGGAAAGGCTGATCTAATGCCTTGAATCTGCTCAGATTTACTCAGACATAAACCCAAATTGTTTCAGAATTGAGTTTACAAAAGAAGGATTTCTGGGTAATTATAAGGATTTTTGCAGTTGATCCCCCCACCAACTCCAGTTGGTAGGATTTCCTCCAAAAGAATGCCTGTTTACTGGGTAGGAAAAGCTGATTTTCACATGGTCCTAGGGCTGCAGATAAAGCTACAACCCTATGTGTGAAGAATTGAACTCAGTAGGACTTTTGAGTAAACAGGCACAGGGTTCAGGCTTGAAGCCCTTTTTCTTCTCTCCCCCAATCCAACTTTCTAGAGGACCTTTAATCTTTGAAGTGATATTTCCATGTGTTCATGTTTTTTTTACATCATGGCCTGATTTAACAAGTTACCCTACCCCTTCCCCCCCCCCCAAGTCGGCAGTGATAAGTTGCAATACAGGTACCATCTTACCTGGGAGTATGACCTGTTGTGTTCAGTAGGATAAGGATCATATACTCTACTCACACTGGTATCTACAAGTCAGTTCCAATAAAATAGCGTGACTTGCCTCAGAATAAATGCCTTGTTATCAGGTAATTCTAGATCAGGTAAATCTGGAATATATAACAGGACTTAACCTCTAGTTCTACCTGAAGGAAAAGAATGTGTGTTTGCAATGCATGGCCAAAATGGAACAATTCATTTTTAAAGAACATTCATAGCTTTATTCAGGTATCCTGTAACTTATATGCAAGTGAATAAAGCCCTCCATAGGCAAAAGAACTAGGCTCCAAAAATGAGAGCCCTGTTGCTATTAAAACTAAAAAAAAAATCCTTTAATTTTGAATTAACAGATTTAACCATATGACCTCATGTACACTTTATCCTGATGACTTTTCTAGCAGGAAAGTATACAAAAATGTTAAGAGAAAAACTAAAGTTTTAAAAAACATATTAGGGTTCAGGTTATTAATGCCACCAATGCACATTTCTAGGGCAAGATCAGCAAATACTACAAGTGGAGATAATAGGGCAACTTACATCATAGATCTGCATATGACCTTACTGCATTTCTACCAAAATCATGGGCCTTTACCAGCTATAATATGGAGAGTAATTCTTGCTTGCTCACTTTCATAATATTTTGTTTTAGTTTTGTGACACCAGATAAAATTTCTACCCAAGGACTCCCTGTATGGCTGTTCTCAAAATAACTAGTAGACCTTTGATAATACAGCTGGCTATACTGGAGAAAGTTGTGCTTTGGAATTACAGTTAGCCAAGGAAGTCTAGCAAAGAAGACTTTGAGCTTGGGATCTGCAACCTCCACCCAAATTTTGGTAAGTTAATTTTCTCATGATCTGAAAAGAGAGAACAACACCCCCCCCATGCAATTAAGCATTCAGCTTCTTACACCCACCATCCCTTCCTGAAATTGGGAATGTATGTGGAAAATCCAAGAGGTGCTAGCGTGACTATAAACGCTCTTAATGTCATAGAGTTCCCAGGAGAATCTTGGAAAGAGATTCTTCCATGCTGCTCATTTACAGATATTGGTGGACTTCACTCTGCATAAAGCAAGAACGTGCACAAGAAAATGAGCTTGGATATGTGTAAATGTTCGGGGGGGGGGGCGGGGAAATGCAAGAAAAGCTTATTTTCTCTCAAGCCTATACTCCTTCCAAGGGAAAATCTTGAAATATAATAAGTGGAAAGAACATTTTCGAATAAAATAAATTAAAATGAATACCTCTGAAGGCAAACGATGCAGAACATGGAGAGGTTGTGCTTGGGGGGGGGGGGGGAAACCTAACAGCTGGATTTTAAAGAAAGCTTCCTTCCCTTGCCTAAATTTTTATAGGATTTTCTACTAAGGCCAACAGATGGCCCCGAGGTCTCCTGTTAAAAATCAAGAATAATTTTGGAGTATGGATGGAAGAGAATGAGGTGGGTAAGGCTGGGATAGATACTTGTGTGGAATGAGAGCAAGATGAGTGCTTGAGCTGGGAAAGTCCCTCTGAAAACACCTTTGGAATGAAGAGTAAAAAGGCTTGCTCAAGGATTAGCTACCCTGGTCCTCAATTTTCCTGCCAAGAAAAACAGGGTGGCTAAAACGGGCTGATAAGATGTTCAATTCCTTTTACTCCTCACTCAGCTACCCCCACCCTCGGGTGGCACAGCTCTTGAAGGGGGAGGCTGTGTTGGCACCCAGAAGGACTTCCAGAAGAAGATTGAGGTAACGAACTCAAACCTCTCTGAAGTTGCAGAGGATTCCTCGCAGCCTCCCTAACTAGCCTCTGAGAAAGACACCCCCCCCCACCCCCACCCCCCCACCCCGCCATTTCTGCTGCTCTGCAAATCAAGGGTCTCCTAGATCGAGGACCCTGATGAGGGGAGAAAAATCCTCGGAAGCTTCGCCTTGGAAGCCTGACTGGATCCTTTGTAGAAGTAATCAATTGTTTTCCAAGGTCTTTAAATTCCAGAAATTTGTAGGCAGGGTATCCCTGGGGAGCGCTTTCTCGGCACTCCCCCAGGACAGCCAGTCCCTCGGAGGTCCTTAGGCGGCCTCCTCACGAGGATCCCTCAGTTCCTCAGCCCACCGCTCCACCGAATCCTGCGCTCTTACCTAAGTCTCCAGGCACGCCAGGCTGCACAGGACGCTAGTGGGAGGCGGACATGGACCAGGCGCCTTCCATGCGCCAAACGGAGAAGGCGTAGCTGAGGCGCTCGTGGGCCACATAGCTGCAGCTGGCCATCTTGGAGTCGAGCTCGTCGCTCTGCAGAACCTGATAGAGGAAGTCGATGTAGCGGGCGGCCAGCTTAAGGGTCTGGATCTTGCTCAGCTTGTCCGACGGCAGCGTCGGGATGATCTTGCGCAGAGCCGCGAAGGCTTCGTTCAGCGACTGCGTGCGCTGGCGCTCGCGGACGTTGGCCATCACCCGCTGCGTTTGAAGCTCCTCGTACGACTGAGGGCTGCCCCCGCCGCTGCTGCTGCCCCCGCCGCCCCCGCCGCTGCCCGACTTCTTGCCTCTTTTGCCTTGTGCCGGGCTACACGGCTCTTCTGCCGAGCCGAGCCCCCCGCCGGTCACTCCGCCGCCCCCTCCGGGGCCTCCTCCGCCGGCTCCTGCGGCTGCCCTACGGCTCGAGCGCCTCTTCCGTCCCCCTCGTTTGCCGGCGCCTTGAAGCTGCTGCTGCTGCTGCTGTTGCTGCTGTTGACGATCGGGCTCCTCTTCGCTGTTGCTCAAGCTGTCGTCGGCGGGCGAGACTGGAGAGTTGGAGTCGTCCTGCTGCTGCATCATCTCGGGGGCCAACCTGCGGCGCACCGAGCAGCCCCCTTTGGAAGGGGCTAGTTGGGCCGGGAGATGCCTAGCCAGCCAACTCCCCGCGGCTAGATCCTTGTCCTGCGAGAGTCCAGAGGAGGATAGCAGCAACGCGGCGGCGGCGGCGGCGACGTTCAGTTGGATGGGAAGGTGGGGGCCATGGGGAGCCGAAAAAAAAGCAGCAGAGGAGGGAGAATCTCTGGCGCTGTCAGCTCCCCTCCCGAGGGCTCCTCGGAGCTGGTTGGGAGTTGGGCGAAAGTTGCAGCCTGGGACGCTCTTATAGCTCCTGCTGGCGGAAAGTTCGGGGGCAGCGGTGTCATTGGCTTGACGTGGAGAAGGAGGGACTTTGTCGAGACGGAGACGAAAGTTTCCGCTTCCCCCTCCCTCCTCTCCGCTGCCTTTCCCAGACCGTTAGCCAGAGAACGGAGGGAGCCCCTTCCCCAAGCCGCCGGCTGCTCTCAGAGACTGCTACACTTCTGCCTTCCCTTCCCCCTTCCAAGCACACCAGCCTTTGAAGGGCTTCGGAGAAACGGGCTGTAAGCACCCCGATTCCTCCGCTCATCCTCTCCTGAGATCCTCAAACTTTTTCCTTCCGAGGCGATCTGCTTAAGCACTTCCCCGAAAGCCACCTCAGCTCCGTCGAATCAAGGGGCATTGCTCTCCATACTACCACCGTCTGCTTGGAAGGAGGGCCGATTTCTGTGACAAGATTTACTTCCGAGTCATTCTTATCTGAATGCGCGATGAGGGTCGATTTAGGGTCGACGGAATCGGTTGCCTTCATTGTCCACTAAGTTCTGAAGAGGATACTACCCAGCCCTTGGGTTTGTGGTCCATTTTCAGGCAGGAGCCCCACCACCATTTAACCAATTCTGCCCATCACCAAATGTCAAAGTCTTCGAAAAAGTTAAACTGCGATCCTAAATAGGCGCAGTTTTCCGCATTGAAATTAAGTGATTGTTATATGTTTTACTTCCGAGTAAGGACCCAGACAGTTCAGCAAGAGCGGTTTAATGAAACCCCCAGTTCACGCGACCCCCTAAGTACAACTAGAGTGTAAACTGGGTTTGAGGAGAGGGGTTCCGCTTCTGCAAGGAGTGAATTCCAAGAATATCAAAGGGGGTGATAATTTCACGTTCGGAATGTGAATTAATTCGGGGCCATATTACATTCCGGGGAGCCTGTTCAAGTGTGTGCGGGATCGAGTTGCGTGTTGGACTCTGACTGGCTCCCCAGGCGCGACTTGGGGAATTCGATTCCGACGCCTCGGTCGCGGCTTCCCGTTGGCCGTTTAGAGGACAAGAGGTACACTTTCCAAGGGTGGCCCTTCAGCCCTGCTCGCTTCCCTAAGCGGCTCAGCGCCCGCTTCGGGCAGCCCGCCCGAACCGTGGAGTCCACGCAGTTCTTGGGTTAGAGGCTGTCTGGTTTCATGAGCGGGAAGGGGGAGGTTGATGGGCGGGGGGGGGGAGGAGAGAGAGACGTTTCGATCTGTCAGAAATCAGAATTAGGGTGCCGTCTAGCTTCATTTCTGCCTTCTAAAGGCAGGGATCCCAGGTAATTTTCGACAGATGCGGCGCGTCTTGGGAAACCTCTTGCCTTCCACCTCGCAAAAGGAAATTGCTCCTCTTTAGCCGACAAGCAAAACAAGAGGGGCCGAAGATATCCTGCAATGTCCTTGCTTCTGAACTGGGCCGGGGAAAAAACACTCCCTTTTCTAAAGGTATCCGAATAATCCACAAACTCGAGGTGACATAAGTATTTAGATGCTCTTTGGATTGCTTCCTTCCACAGCGGAAGCACAGCGGGCTGATCTCCAAAATAAATTGGACCAGGACCCATCTGGCATCCAAATAACAGCAGGGATGTGTGTTAAAAGATATTCCACCGCCTGCAGTGAAAGCTTTGTTATCTAATCGCCACGATATTTGCCTTTTTTCTCAAGTATCTTCGTTCTGCCTTGATTCATCAATAATGTTGCGTTAAAGACGGAAAGCGCGGTGTACTGAAGGTCGTTGGAAGCGAATACTTCCAGCTACCGAGCGCACCCAATCTTCTGCACCTTTCAATACATTACTACAATTCAAACAAAACTATTCTGGTTTATTGTTTTCTTTCTTTCTTTCTTTCTTTCTTTCTTTCTTTCTTTCTTTCTTTCTTTCTTTCTTTCTTTCTTTCTTTCTTTCTTTCTTTCTCTTTTTTCTTCTCTCTCTCTCTCTCTCTCTCTCTCTCTCTCTCTCTCTCTCTCTCTCTCTCTCTCTCTCTCTCTCTCTCTCTCTCTCTCCCTCCCTCCCTTTTAGTCTGCAAAGTGCAGAGATTGGAACGTGTGGAGAAAGTGTGTCGCTTAAAAAGAATTGAAAATATTTCGTTGGTTTTCCAAGAACTGCCTGCTGGATGCCCGGAACTAAAAGCGCAGTTCTAGCCGGTCCCCATCTCTGCCCCGCGGCCGCTATCGTCACTTTTGCAAGTAAATCAATCAGATCAGACCGAAGCAGAGCAACCGCGGTGCTGCCCCAAGACTGAGAAAAATCCACGTGGCCCACATGTCTTGAAAGGCGAGCATAACTTTTCCGGCAGTCGCTGGATCCACGTTTGGGGCAAAGTGGCCTGTCGCCCTCCAAATGATGCTGAACTATAATGCCCAGCGTCCGCTGCTTTTGGATCGAAATAGTTTTCAAACGGGTCAAAAATGAACCGGGAGAAAGTCTTAATCTAGAGGTTAATTCAAAGGTTGGATATAGTTACGGAGGGAGAGGTCCTCTCCGCGTGTCCTCCTTTAAATTAAGGCAGATAGCACGTCTAGGGGGCAGCAGGTTGAAGAAAACCTATTTAGGCCTAGCTGAAGGTGGTTCGACAAAATTTTATTCATTTTGCTAGCAGCGTCGGAAAGGAAAATGCAAAGTACAGAATTTAACCGTCTCCTGCGGTCCCTCCGCTTTAAAAACCCGCCGTAGCGCTCAACCCGCGTTTTCCTTCAGTGTTTCAGGGAAGCGTCTTTACCTCTTCAGCTCGTTTCATTTCCAAAAGGAAGATTATTCAGGGTCGTTGAACAGAATACTGTGTGATACTCACCTCCAGGAGATCCAAACTCGAAAGACCCTTACTCTCTTCAGATGTTCCTCAAAATCTTATAAAAGAAGGACTTCTGACCTGAGAAAGGGAAGTCCCCAGCCTACGCTCTGGAACTTTATCAGTCATGTAGGAAGGAGCTACACCACTCTGAATAGGAGATGGGTCACTGAATGAATGAATGAATCAATGAGTCAATCAATGAATCAATCAATCAATCAAGGGATTTTTGCATGATCAGAAAACGACCTGGTCTTAGAAGAGACTGGACAAGATGGGACAGAAGCAAAGTAGCTTGCTTACTTAAACTTTTGGCACAGTGTTCCTCTTATTGGCCTCACAACAATTCTGTGAGGTAAGTTAAGCTGAAACAATAAATGACCAAAAGAATTCAGTTAGGGATCGTTTTAAGCAAGGGCTGTTCAACTCATAAATCCTGCTATTTCTTGAACGTCACTATGGCTTATATAGCATAATAATAGGAGTTTATAGTGATTCAAACTCTTTAAGCTTCATTTCCTAGCCAGGAAGAGGCCAGGAACCGAAGTAAAAAGCTTTGATGTCCTTAGTTCTATCATTGAGTTAAGGACCAAAGTAATATACCTTGATAATCTGGAACTTTTGCTTATCTTCTAATAAGAGAAGAATCTCTGCTACCTATGGAAGCGCAGTTTCCCTTTCAGTTCCTGATCTCTTCCCATATCCCAAAATTGTTTCTTAAAGAGAATCAGCCTTTATCTTTCAGATCCATGTAAGTATTGGAGAGCTGGGGGACAATCCAGTTCAGCCCTGAAAATGAACTGAGAAGTCATCGTTCCCATTTTTCTGTAAGAGGTTACTCAGAATTTGCCAATGAATTTGATTTTCTTCTTGGCATCTCTAGTCAAGTGGTTTAAGTGCACCAGAGTTGTTGCTTTCCCATACTTTACCCCTCCCTTTCAGCCAAAGTGATTTTGCATTATCTGGAATTTATTCACTTCTGATCTAACAGAACCATCCCACAAAATGCATCAGATGGAGCTTTTAACAAGCCACAAGTAAGATGCTGGAAAAAAAGGCATAAACACAAGCCCTTCAAGTACTGCCAATGAATATTAAACTTAGTGGATAATTTAAAAGGGGGAGTGGGAGTGGGGAAGAACATAAGAATTTTGCTTTCCTGATCAGTAGGGAAAGAGATATTTTACATGATGTTTAGAGGATATTCAAACATATCTCTTCTCCATCCCAGCTTTTAAAATACTTGGTAAATAAAGCAAAAAACAAAACACCCCCCCTAAATTCTTAACACTGGGCAAGCCATGAAAAAGGGATCCTGTTCTGATCTACTGCAGCATGAATTAAAAATATTAGCCTAAAATCAGAAAGTCAGACAGTGGTGTCTATAGGATATTGATTAAAGAATAAAAATGACAACAGGAACAATGAGAACTGCCTGTTTCATGTTTATGTCATGATCACACCATCAAGGCTGCCATTTTGAGTTTTTTTACTACATCCCACAGGCACCTCTGATATCAATCTTCTGTTCATTCAAAATTCAGCCAGGTGCATATTAAATAAAGATGAGTAGCACACACAAACATGTATTCTAAGAAAAGACATACAGAATTGCTACTAATATTAGAGATTATAATAAATAGACATGGTTAGTAGCTAAGGGATCTTTCCCCATGGCTGAGTTGTAGGCTTCCAACCTGTCCTTAGATCCACAAAAACCAGATTGGTCATCAAATTGTTTTTTCTTACTGTCCATCCCTAGCTCTAGTTCCCAGTCACCTAACTTTCCTCCAAGGTAACTAGTGATAAATTCTATACTCCTTGAGGTATTTTAAGAAAAAAAAAAAGATATTACTTTAACATCAGTACATCTGTGGATCAAAGCTGACGGCAGGTAGACTAAAGGTTGA